GAGTTCCAGGACAGCCAGAACTACAAAGAGAAATTCTGCCTTGAAAAAACAAACAACCCCCCCAAAGCAAAAACACCCAAAATAAAACAAACAAAAAAGAAGAATAATGGAGGAGAAGGACAACGTTGGAGACAAAAGTCAGGTGGGGTGGGTCATACTAGTGGACTGTGTTATAAGCAGACAGAGCTATTCAAAGCTGAGAGGAGTGGCTATAGACAACAAACCTACAACCTACAGATAGGGTTATGCTGAATAGAGAAGAGCCTCAAAGCATTTTCACTAAGACCAAGAATAAGACGGAAAGGTGACTCATTTACTCCACTCTTTTGGAGACTGTCTGCCTACATGGCACTACCAGGCTGGCCTCAGACCCAGAGCTCTGCCTCTGTCTCCTTAGTGCTGGGACTAGAGGTGTTTGCCATCACTGCACTGCCATCTTCACTCTTCATAATAGTGCTTTAAGTGTTAGCTACAGCAATAAGACAAGAGAAGCAAATAAATGGGACATAAATATGCATCATTATTTGGAGATAAGACCCTATACGTAAGAGATGAGAGGGATCCCATCAGGGAACTGATACTTTCAACCAAGTAGCTGGCTACCAGATTAGATCATAAAAATTAGTAGCAAGAAGTGAGATGCTCAGCAGGTAAAGCCGCTGGCCGACAGGCCTGATGGCTGCAGTTTGATCCCCAGGACCTGCATGGTAAAAGGAGAGAGCTGACCCCTGCAGGTTGTCTTCTGCCCTCCACATGGGCATTGTGGCATGCATGCCACACACAGACTCACAAATAAATGTGGGAAAAATCAGGAAATAACCTCATTCACAATGACCTGAAATGGCAACAAGAAATCCTTGGAATAAGCTTGATACAGGAAGTGAAAGACCTCAAATAAGCTGGGTGTTGGTGGCGCCCACCTTTAATCCCAGCACTCAGGAGGCAGAGGCAGGCAGATCTCTGTGAGTTTGAGGCCAGCCTGGTCTACACAGTGAGTTTCAGGACAGGCTCTAAAGCTACAGACAAACCCTGTCTCAAAACAAACAAACAAAAAAACCAAAAACCAAAAAACAAGACAGGGGGCTGGAGAGATGGCTTAGCAGTTAAGAGCACTGACTGTTCTCCCAGAGGACCTGGGTTCAATTCCCAGCACCTACATGGCAGCTAACAACTGCCTGTAAGCACAGTTACAGGGGACCCAACACCCTTACTCAGGCAAAAACCAATGCACAATAAATAATTGAAAAAAAAAAAACCAACAAAGAAAGAATCTAATCAAATATAAACCCATGCAGCTTCGGCCACCTAATTGTAGACAAAAATACACATTAGAGAAAAGACAGCCTTTCCAAGAAAAGGCACTAGAAACTGCATATCATGTGTAAAAGAATAAAGCTAGTCTTGCTGTCTCACCCTGCACATAACCAATTCCAAATGGATCAAAGACCTTAATATAAGACTTGGAATTATGAATCTGCTCAAAGAAAAAGCATTGGATAGGACTTTCTCAATGTGACAAAAGTCCATCAGTAATAAGACCATTAACAAATGGGACCTTGTGGAAGTAAAAAAAGAAACAAAAAACAAAACTTCTATGTAGCAAGCAAAACAAAAACAGTTCAAAGTAAAGAGATAGCCTAAGAATGGGAGAAAAATCTTTGCCATCAATGCATCTGATAGAGGATTAATATCTAGAATACACAACACACACACACACACACACACACACACACAAAACACAAACAAAAACCCCAAAAAACTAAAAATAAATCAAGCTGGGTATGGTGGTACACGCCTTCAATCCCAGCACCAGGGAGCAAGGAGTAGGTGGATCTCTGTGAGTTTGAGGCCAGCCTGGTCTACACAGAGTTCCAGGTCAGCCAGGGCTATGTACAGAGACCCTGTCTCAAAACAATTAAAGACAACAGCTTTCATGGAAGATCCAAGGAATGGTTGCAAGGGAGTAGCTGGTTAACAGTTAAGAGGAAAAGGCTGGGGCTGGCTACTGAGAAGTTGCCAGCAGCCTTGCCCAAGGCTATTCTGAGAAAAGGAGCAGACCACTCAGCAGGAATGTGAGTCTGAGCTCACTGAAGGTGGAGGTATAGCCCCCTCATTACTGCCTAGTGGAGTTGCTTGGTGAATGTTGGTGAATGAATAAATTTAATTTAAATGGGGAATATGCATGTGGTAGAAAAAGCGTTGGAAGATGGGCTTTGGTGGTGGAAGCCTTTAATCCCAGCACTCGGGAGGCAGAGGCAGGCGGATCTCTGAGTTCAAGGCCAGCCTGGTCTACAGAGCGAGTGCCAGAATAGGCTCCAAAGCAATACAGCAAAACCTAGTCTCGAAAAACCAAAGGGAAAAAAAAAAAAAAAAAAGAAAAAGCGTTGGCGGAGTGTACCATTTGAAAATGTTCATAGTAGGTCTGGAGAGATGGCTCAGCAGGTAAGAACATCGGCTGGTCTTCCAGAGCTCCTGGGTTTGATTCCCAGTGTCCATATGACTGCTCACAACTCTCTATAACTCTATTATTATTATTTTGGTTTTATGAGTCAGGGTTTTTCTGTGTAATAGCCCTGGCTGTCCTGAAACCAGCTAGTTCTGTAGACCAGGCTGGCCTTAAACTCCGAGATCTGCATGTCAAATGCTGGCATTAAAGGCTCGCACCACCACCTGCTGGCTATAACTCTAGTTCTTATGCCTCCTTGCCTCAGAAAAATAAAAAGGGAGGTGACATTCTATACATTACACAGGCTTGGGGCAATCAGGCACTGGATTACCTCTTCCCCAGGCTGGAGTTGCAGATAGAGGCAGCCACAGGCAGTGACTGTGATATTATCTGCAGAGGGGCACAGTAGTGGTGTTGGAATCGAGACAGGGTTTCTCTGTGGCTTTGGAGGCTGTCCTGGAACTAGCTCTTGTAGACCAAGCTGGTCTCGAATTCACGGAGATCTGCCTGCCACTGCCTCCCAAGTGCTGGGACTAAAGGTGTGTGCCACCACTACCCACCTGAAAGTGCTCATCATTTAGTGATTTTTTTTTTTTTTGGAGACAGGGCCTCTCACAGTGTAGCCCTGTCTGGCTTGGAATTTGGTATGTAGACCAGGCTAACCTTAAAGTCACTACTAAATGCTGGGATAAAAGGTGTGCACCACTATGCATGGCTTCTGTTTTTTTTTTTTTTTTTTTTTTTGCAAGGTCTCATGTAGCCTAGATTAGCCTCAAACTCAGTATGTAGCTGAAGATAACCTTGACCATTTGATTCTACCTCCTAGGTACTGGGATGACAGTGTGTCTCAACAGCTGGCTCCATGCTTCATTTTCTAATTTCTCTAACAAAGCTAATCCTATAGTGGCAGAGCACTTGCTTAGATGCCTGAGGCCATGGGTTCCATAGAATGAAGTCTGCCCAGGGCCACCCTCACCCTCTGACCAGGTGCCACACACCTGGGACACTGCCCTCCCAGCCCCGCCCCCCAAGTCTTGGCAGGGGCCCTTGTTCTGCAGCCTGCCTCCTCCTCATTTCATTACACTGCTGCTATGTAGCTCTCTGCATCCCTCTCCTTGCCCCTCCCTCAGCCTCTGGAGAACAGTAGTTTGGTTTTTCAAATTCCTGCATCCCCGGGATGTGTCTGGTACCAACATGCTGATTTTCTTAGGAAATGTTTAATAAATGAACGTCATGGGGAGGTGGCTGCTGTCACTGTTGTCATTTTGTACTCTAAGATATAAGCAGGTTGCCCAGCTGGAAGAGGGGGCATCTGGATATTGAGGAGTCCAGCAGCGATATATCTTCCAGTGATGTATCTTCCTTTTCCTCTGAAGGTGGGTCCAGGGGACCTATGGCCCCCAGGGGCTATGTTACCCCTTATTTGTGAAAGCTAACACCTTGGGGAGGGAAGGATCTTGATGGGGTTACCCAGATGCCCCAGGGCCTAGGGAAATGGCTCAATGGGTAAAGTTGCTTGCTGGACCCACATGGTGGGGAACCCAGCCATACTGTCTTCTAAAATGCCAGAGAGCCCCCTTCCTTGAGTCCTGATCACCCCTTTCCTTTGTATTTTATGGTACACAAACATGAATTGAGTCCCTCTAACCCCGCACAATAGCTATCTCTGTCCCATTTTGTGGATACGGGAGGTTCAGAAAAGAAAGCTGTCTTGGGTTGTCTTATTAAGTGACAGACCCAAGCCTTAGGCATGACTGACTCCAGGCTCAGGGCAGATGTCTCTATGCTGCCCTTTACCTCAGTTTAACAGTGCCAAAAAAAAAAAAAAAAAAAAAAAAGGGCAGGGGTGATAGTCCAAGGTCCTGCTGTACACATCTCCCTTACTTCCCCTGGGGAAAAAGGCACAAGAGAAAGCGGGTGAGGGGTGTTGTAGGAACTAGGAGGCCTCAGTCTGGTGGAGGAAAGGGCAGGACTGTAGGAGAAAGCCTCGGGCCACACTGCTGTCTTCTCTCTCATGCATTTTTATGGACATTTGGGCTTCCACACCTTCTGGGTTAACTCCTGATGCCCAATGTCCTGCCCAGTTCTACCACTCCCACGAGCTGAATAAAGTCATAATGGTTGTGGTCTCTGGAGGGGTAGCCAGCCACAGCATTCCCCACCTGGATGTGTAACTCATCACTTCCTCCCACAGCAGGGCTGTCTCTGATACCTAGGAACCTGCTGCAGGGTCCCTCTGTGAGACTGGGGTAGGAGGCAGGGCTGTTGAGAGGCATTTTTACCTTTTAGATGAGAGCAGAGAAAGATCAGGGAGCCCTAAGCAGGGTCAGAGAGGAAGCACTGGGGGCCCCATGAAAAACCCATGTAGCTCAGTAAGAAGTGGGAACTCTCGCCAGTACTTGGGAAAGGGTCATAATATCACTTTGCCTAATTTATAGACTGGGCAGGTTCTTCAGCATTTGGTGGTTCTGGAGGAGAATGTGATGTTCCCCTCCCCCCAACCAGTTTCTCTGTGTAGCCCTAGCTGTCCTTAAACTCCAAGAGATCCACATGCCTCTACCTCCGGGGAGTGCTAGAATTAAAGGCATACACCAAAAACAACAGGCTTAAAATAATTTTTATAAAGACTTATTGTGTGACTGTCACACCATGGCAAACATGTGGAGGTCAGAGGACACCTGTAGGAGCCAGTTCTCTCTTTCTCGATTTTTTTTTTTTTTTTGAGACAGGGTTTCTCTGTAGGTTTGGAGGCTGTCCTGGAACTCTCTTTGAAGACCAGGTTGGCCTTGAACTCAGAGATCCGCCTGCCTCCGCCTCCCGAGTGCTGGAATTAAAGGTGTGTGCCACCACCACCTGGCCTAGTTCTCTCCTTTTACCTTCACCTGCTAAGCAGCCCAAGACCATGATTTTGATCAGTAAAGAGCAGGGAAAGAATTGAGAGAAGTGAGAAAGGTGTGTGTGTGGGGGAGGGGGCAGAAAGGGGGCTAGGCGGAGAAAGGAAGCAGACAGAAGAGTCAGACAGTACAGGTAAGGAGCACACTGGAGAGGTCTAACCACCATCCAATCCAGGTTGTTCCACCACCCTGTGCCATTCAGGTAGAGAGCATCAGAGGGACCTGGGCCTGTGCAGGGGCGGATGTCAGAACTGAGGCTGCAATTGTGGGCTTGCCTGCCGGACAACAAGGCCATAGCCATTCCCTATCTGGCACTGTGCAGTGTGGTGGCTGGTGGTTACCAGCAGGTGATGACGGCAGTGGTCAGTAGAGGGCCCAGGATAGGGGTTCCACAAAAGAGAGGAAGTGACAAAGGTGATACAGAACAACAAGGGAAGCTTGGAAGGATCTTCTACATCCCATATGTGGCATTATTTTTCCTGAGTCCAAGACAACTCTATGTAGTGGATAAGGGGACAGGGCAGTACAGGGACCTGTAGTGACTGCTTACTGCAGTTTAGTCATCACCTCTCATGAGAACAATAGTTGGGGAGCCAGGTGGTAGAGGAATTTGGTGAAGCTGTAAGACTGAGGTGTGCTCAGCTGCCTCCAAGTGACCCAGACCTCTCTTCCCTCAGGTGACTGCAGGGAGACTGACAGGCGTTGCTGGAAACACCAGAAGTGTGCTGGGCATATCCACCCCTTCTCAGACTGTGGCCATCACAACCAGCACAACCAGCACAACCAGCACAACCAGCACACCCAGCACAACCAGCACAACCAGCACACGCACGCTGTTAGCCACTGCAACTGTGAATCTAGGTGAGGGCCCCCTTTATGGGGGACCCATCCCCTTCAGGTTTCCCTCTTCAGCTTTGGCCTGGTGCTGCCAGCCTAGTCCCAGCTCTGCTCCAAGAACAATGAATGGGGAAGCTCTCTTGGCAGCCTGGGCCAGGCCCAGAAGCAGCTGGCTGTCCCTCTGGGCCCCTGGGGAGTCATGGAGGTATGGGAGCCAAGCTGAGAGTCTGGTGTGTGGCAGGCTGAAGGACTGCTCAGAGAAGAAAAATAGTAGCAGCCCCCGAGATGTAGGCCCGACCTGCTGCAGAGATGGGGGCCCAACCTGCTACAACTTCATCCATGCCCCTTGCATTGAAATCATCCCAGAAGAAGAGTGTGTGGAGCGGATCTGGTATAGCTGGTGAGTACCAGCTGGCTGATGGGGACAGGACCCCAGGGTGCCCTGCTTCAGCTCTATTAATCTCTTCCTGTCCCTTCCCCCTAGGTGCAAAAGCTACAGGCCTGTCTCTGTGGCAGTAATCCACCATCCCATCCATCATGTGTGTAGGCCAGATGACCGAAATGAGGAGCCAGAGGAGGAGGAAGAGACCCCATCATCCGTCCCACCTGGCCCAGACACCAGGCCAGTCCCCGGGGCTCCCGACTCAGCAGCTCCCATTACCATCTGGCGCTCTGAGAGCCCCACAGACAAGAGTCAGGATGTCAAGGTCACCAAGAAGGTAAAGAAGAAAAAAGAGAAAGAGAAAGAGAAAGAGAAAGAGAAGGAGAAAGAGAAGGAGAAAGAGAAGGAGAAAGAGAAAGAGAAAGAGAAAGAGAAGGAGAAAGAGAAGGAGGATGAGATGGTGGATGAGAAGGCAAAGTTGAAGAAGAAAGTCAAGAAGGGCAAGTTAATAACTAAGAAGAAAGTCCCAGTGAAATCAGCGTCTTCCCCTCCAGACTTGAGCAGATCACTAAGCCCAAGAGAACTAGTCAGGACATCAGAGTCCAGCCCAGAAAGCCGGGAAGAGCTGGAGAGTGAGGAAAGTTATGAACGGGGCAAAGAGAGACCCTCCAGTGAAGAAATTGTGGAGTCATCATCATCCAGAAAGAGAGAGAAGAGCACTACCCAGGCCAAAAAGAATGGTACAAAGACCTTACAAACCAAGAAGATAAGCAAGAGAAAATCTCCCCCAGTGTCCAACCCCAATCTCAGTTGAGGCCTGGGCAACCAGAGTGAATAAATCAAGCCTGTAACTGACCCCTACTGCTATTCTCTCTCCCTCCAAACAGGGACTCTTCTTGGGGGGGGTGGCTGGCTAGGGATCAGGGGATACTCAAGGGGCAGTTCTGCTTTCAAGGAGGAAGTCTATGTCTATGGGAAGCTAAGTCAGAGGGAGAGAGAACCCTCCAGGGCCAGGTGGCAGAATCCATTTAGGGAGGGAGTGGGAAGTGGGAGACCAGTGTTGTTTGTGAACTCATTCTGTGGTGGGCAGCACCACCTTCAATAAACTGAACCTGCCACTCACTTGGCCTGCCTTTCCCTCCTCAAGTGGTTCCAAGGAAGGGCTGTGGCACCGTGGAGGACATGGTCTTCCCAGAGGTGTAGACCCAGTCTTTTCCGCCCTGGCAGCAGACCTCTATGCTGGAGAGAGTAGAGTTCTGGCAGAAGGCCAGCCCTTTCCCACCAACACAGTCAAAGGATGAAGAAAAGTGGGTACAAGCTCAAATGCAGGCAGCAATGTTGACCCAAGCAGGGACAAAGGAGGGGAAGCTTTCCTTTCCCACACTGAATCACTGTGAGATGAAGCCTGTGTGAAGGAAGAGGGAAACCAGACATGCAGAATAAAGAAGCCTGCGGAAGGAACCAGAGCCAGGGGCTAGCTGACACTGAGCCAGGAAGGGAAAGGGATGGGAACCAGCCCCTCTCCCATGGTCTGTGTGTCTGAGGGTGAGCAGTTAAGGGGACCCATTCTGAGCCCAGAACTGTCTTCTCAGAGGCTGCTAGAGACCAAGGCACAGCTGGGAAGTGAAGGGGTACACAGGGGCTCACAGATTTACTTTTCACTACTGTGTGGGAAGATGAGAACACAGTGGCTAAGCTAAAAACTGCCAGGCCCAAGCCCTGGCTCAACATTTCATATTGCTCCGTGTGTGTCACCACCCCCATTTCACAGATAGGACAGCCACGTAAAACAGAAGAAACTGCTGGAGAGATGGGCTAGCAGTTGCCAACATTTACTGCTCTTGCAAAATACCTGAGTCTCCAACACCCATGCTCATAGCCACTCATTCCAGTTTCAAGAGATCCAAAGCCCTCTTTTGGTCTTCCATGCACAAACCCACACATGCACACACATAATTAAAAATAAGCAGGGGATTGTGGTGCACACCCTTAACTTTAATCCCAGCACTCAGGAGGCAGAGGCAGGTGGATCTCTGAGTTCAAGGGCAGCCTAGTCTATGGAATGTGTTCCAGGACAGCCAGGATTACACAGAGAAACCCTATCTCGAAAAACTAAAACCAACAAACAAATAAAAAACCAAAACCAAAAAACCCCTAAGCACACACAAGTGTCATTCCTGCAATTCTTGCATTCAGGAGGCAGAATTAGGATTGCTGTAACTCCAAGGCCAGCATGGGCTAAAGACTCCACCTCAATATAGCTAACGAAAGATGTAAGAAGCTCACACAGAGTCATGGGGCTCAGATCAGGGAGGTGACCACAGGTAATCTGAATTCTGGCCTCCTTGACAGATTCCGAGAGGAAGTTTTTGAAGTTCCAAACTGCTTTGAAGCAACCCCTTAGAGCAGGGAGCTGGAGAGAGGCCTCGGCAAGTGCTCTGTAGAAACACTGTTTATTCAAATGACAGGTGAGAAGCAGGTGGCAATGCGTAGATGAGGGTAGGTAGGCAGCGGCTGGCAGGTCAACACTGCTCCATATGTCCCCCACAGTGCTACTTCCACAGCCACATCAGGACCAAAAACACTTCCCCTCCTCCCTCCTGCCTCCAACTGAATAAATAGCATCGGTTTCCCCACAAGGGCTGGGGACATGTACAAGTTAAGCCTGATACCTCATTAGAGCCTGTATCAGGTGAGGGAAGAAACGCAAAAATGGCTTCCAAGGAGACTACAGACTGCTCCACTTTCATTCCCCTCCTCCCTGCTACACTCCTCTCCCAGGTGCTCTCAGGACAGGTGGTTGGCACAGGTCTGGAGCGGGAGAACTGCTCCTCGGTGCACACCAGCTCACAAGACCATCCAGTCTGCCACCCATCCAGGCTGACCATTAAAGAGAATGTCATTTCATGCCACTTTATGGACAAAAAAAGAGGGGCAGGGAGTGAGGCTGTAGATGGCCAGGCCTCTTGGAGCCTCAGAGGTAACCAGAGTTCGAGGAACAGGCCCCTACCGATCCATCTCATCCAGGAGTGGGGTCGCATCTCCAGCAGTGGACATGGGGGTGCTTTCAATCATGGGGCTGGGAGAGGGTCGAGGGGTCAGCCGCTGTTTCTGTTTCCGTCGTTCTGCCTCCTTCTCCTGTAGCCACTGCTCAGCCATCTTGCCCCAGTCAATGGCTGCATGGCTGTTGGACCTGGAGCAGAAAGGAAAGGCCTTAAGAGACAGGATTCTTTGCGATTTATGAAAAGGAAGTCTTCTCACCAGTCACAGGTGAGAGATCACAGAAAGGAACCTGACTTCTCAAAACAGCCTTTTTTTTTTTTTGAGACAGGGTTTCTCTGTGGTTTTGGAGGCTGTCCTGGAACAAGCTCTTGTAGACCAGGCTGGCCTCGACCTCAGATCCACCTGCCTCTGCCTCTGCCTCCCAAGTTCTGGGATTAAAGGCGTGCGCCACCACGGCCCGGTGAAAGCAGCCTCTTTTGCTCTTCCAATCTTTCCCCAGAAACCAATGCCCATGGGAACACCTCACAGGTCTTGGCTTTCAAGAAGATACAGAATACCTGCTTATGTTAAGTCTTCAGGCCACACGGCACCACCTGTTCCTACTAGTAACCTGCCTGCGGTGCCACTATCCATGTACTTACTTTGGCTGCTGTTGCCGTTGTCGGGAGCTGGAGGAAGGCTGGGGCTGGGCCTGGGTAGACTGTGGAGTAGTGCTGGCCTGGAGCTGGTGGTATTGTGGGGTGGTAATGGGCTGGCTTGGGGTTGTGTAGGAATAGCTGGGGGTCATTAGTGGTGTGGCCACTGGTTGCTGGGCTGGCGTTGGGAACACCTGAAGAGGGGTGGACAGAGAATTAGGGGTAGGTGTGGGCTTGTTTGATTTCACTGTAAATCTCTGACAGGCCACGAGAGTTGGCCCTGAACAGTGCTTTCCAGCTGACCCACCTGGAAGCAGGAGGATAACACTAGCACAAAGTTGCCCACTAATCTTCAACACCTCAGGTAGCTTGAGGGTTCTAAATATCCCACAAGGCTCTGTGCAAAGAAAGGCCAGGCCCTTTCTTATTCCCTTCCCTTTCAAACATGCATCTGTTAGAGACAGTTCCTATGCCTAAGCATATGAAGCCCCTGGTGGTGGGCATGGTCAGAGGTGTCTACAAGCACCCGAGTCTGCAGGTAAAAGATGCTTGCTTCCTCTCCTCCCAACCCTATTCTGGAAGAATCTTCCCCAAAACACATACATGGTAGGCGCTGCTGCCTCCTCCACTGCCGCCATAGCCATATTGGCTGGATGCCCACTGGGCTGGGGTAGCATTGGGGTTCTGTCCTTGGCCTGTCACAGCAGCAATGGCACTGAACATCTGCGAAGTCATGTTCTGAGGCAAGGCATTCACAGCCCTTGTCAGATCTGTAAACACACAGATGGCAGATGGCCATGTCAGGGTGTAAACCCCTCCAGTTCTCCACTGCCCTACAAGTCTCAACCCCAAGCATCCCACCTGCAAGATTGATGTTGGCTGGGGTAGCATTGATAGAAGCAGGGGTCCGAGTCCTGCTGCTGCTACTGGGAGTGATGCCTGTAGGAAACAGATGAAGGTAGTTATGTTCCTCAAGAAAGCTATTGTGGCTCCCCAGTTCAAGAGTCAGAAGAGGTTTAATCCCAACACTCAGCAGTGGATCTCTGTGAGTTTGACACCAGCCTGGTCTACAAAATGAGTTCCAAGACAGACAGAGCTGTTACACAGAGAAACCCTGTCTCAAAAAACATGAGAATCTGCACAGGCCAGTGTATAGGGAACCTCCCTGATGCTGAAAATCTGGAGCAAGGGTGAGGCAGCTAAGATGATAACTGATTTCACTTTCCTGAGCCAGGATCTGTATGTGTCCCTCTCACCACAGTCTAAAGTTAGGGTACTGTAGAGCTCACCTGGTACAGGATCCTGATAGTGATCCTTAAACCACCTGAAGAGTCCATTCACAGTTGGGAAGATCTGGCCCCGGTACCGGAATCCTTCAGGAGTCACTGTTACATATTCAATCCTGAGATTTCGTAAGGAAACAAGCATTAGATACCAGTTTGTCTAGCTAGTTTTATGTTCAGTTGACACAAGCTAGAGTCGTCAGTGAGGAGGGAGCCTCATATGATAAAATACCTCCATAAGACAGGGCTGTAGGTAAGCATGCAGGGCATTTTCTTAATTAGTGATTGGTGAGGGAAGGCCCAGTCCATTGTGGTGGAGCCTCCCATGGGCTGGTGGGTCTTGGGCACTGTAAGGAAGCAGGCTGAGTTGAGCTAGTAAGTCGCTCTCCTTTGTGGCCTCTGCATCAGCTCCTGCCTCCAGGTTCCTCTCCGTTAAGTTCCGGTCTTGACTTCCATGATGAATTATGATGTGGAAGAGTATACCAAATAAACCTGTCCCCTATCAACTTGTTTTTGGTCATGATGTTTCATCACAGCAATAGCAACCCTAACTAAGACACCACTTGTGGCCACCTGTGAGAGAGTGACCAAATAAATAACAAACCACATACATTAGCTCTTCTGGGTGCTGGAGAAGTAGAGATGACAGGGAGAGGCTGCACATGACAGCACAATCAAGGCTAAGGAGGCTGTGGTCTTGTGTGCTAAGTATATGCTGCCAGGGCAAGTTGTGCTGGAGGCTGCACTGGATATAGGATGCTTCACTGAAGACAGTTTGCTCAGAGGTGAGAGTGAGACTAAGGTTACAGGACATCAGGTGTGAAGAGGCCTCCTGGGCAGCTCCAGATACGCAGGGGAAATTCTTCAGCACTCTAGAAGGTGATTAGTCTGCCCTCATTCATTACTTCTGAGAGTAGCAGAGTGGCTAAGAGGA